TCCAGCTTTTTTCTTTTTGCTTATGTGGTGCTGAGGAATTGAACCCAGGGCCTCATGCATGCAAGGCAAGCGCTCTACCACTGAGCCATCTTCCCAGCCCTGTGCAATGGTAATTTTTAAGGTAGAGTCTCACTTCATACCCAAGCCGGCCTGGGCTGTGATCCTACGTTGCTGGGGTTGACAGGCGCACACCACTGTGCCCAGTCATTGTGTTTCCCCTGTAACTGTGATAACAGGCATGCGCTACCTCACCCAGTCACTGGTTGAGATGGAGTCTCCTGAACTTTTATGCATAGGCTGACCTCAAAACCCCCATCCTACTTCACCCCAGCCCCGTCTCTGCCTGTCCACTAGCTAGAATTACAGAGTTGGACCACCAGGCCTGGCTTAAAAGGTACTTTTAATGTTTCAACATTGGGCTTTGAACAGGGTATGGGGAAAGAGATAGGGAAGGCACAGGAGTCAGAGGTAGAAAATAAATGGTCAGGAATATGCTTAATTTGGAGATCTTCTTTACAAGAGTGTAATTTATCAGTCTTGCCTTGCTCTCTGCTGGAAGAGGAACCAAACTTGAATGGAAGCATAGTTCTCAACTCTGGCCAGTAGGTGGCAGTCTTGTCTGGAAATATAGAGAAAGAACAGGGACAGACTAGGAACAAGAATTGCCATGAAGGAAGTGGCGCTGTGGCTCAAGTGGTAGAGCTCTAGCCTTGAGCTGAAGAGCTGAGGGACAGCGCCCAGGCCCAGAGTTCAGGCCCCACGACCGACCAAAAAAAAAAAAGAATTGCCATGAAATAAGCCTTCTCAGAACTTTTAGCACTTTGGAATTAGCTGCATGTGCAGGCAGAGTTTAAATTAACTCTTCCTCTGGGCTCTGGTGGTTCGTGCCTGTAATCCTAGCTACTGAGGAGGCTGAGATTTGAGGATCCCGGTTCAAAGCCAGCCAGGGTTAGGAAAGTCCATGAGACTCTTATCACTAATTAATCACCAGAAAACTGGAAGTGGAACTATGGCTCCAAGTGGTAAAGCTCTAGCTCTGAGCAAAAAAGCTCAGGTACAGCATCCAGGCCCTGAGTTCAAGCACCATGACCAACAAAAATTAACTTTTTCCCCTCTAAAGGCATGACACTTTTAGTCTCTAAAATGAGCTGACAACGCTAGGCTGAGAACTGAGGATCTCAGTTCAAAGCCAACCTAAGCAGGAAAGTCTGTGAGACTCTGATCTCCAATTAAGTGGTGCTGTGGCTCCAAGTGGTAGAGTGCTAGCCTTGAGCAAAAAGAGCTCAGGACAGCACCCAGGCCCCAAGTTCAAGCCCTATGACCAACAGAATAAAAAAATTAAAAATAAAATAAAGACCAGTGGGGCCTCTGCATCCAGACTCTAACCTCCTCAACTCTAACCTCCTCAACTCTAACCTCCTCTACTCTAACCTCCTCTACTCTAACCTCTACTCTGACCTCTACTCTAACCTCCTCTACTCCAACCTCCTCTACTCTAACCTCTAACCTCCTCTACTCTCTTGCTGAAGTGGCTCACCAGCCCCTCCTCCTATCTCCTCCTCCCCTTCCCTTGGGGCTGGTTCTGTAAGGATGTGGCCTCCGCAATGTTCCAGGAGGCCTGGAAGGGCTGTCTCCTCCTCAGGTCTTGCCCACGGCTGGGTGTTGGGAAGGGTGATGGGGGGGGGCACTCATGGGGCGCGGCCTCTCCAGCGTCTCCGCTCTTCCCTAGCCATCGAGCTGATCAAGGACCTGGTCAACTACGACGTGCGTTTCCCTCTGCTCAAGGGCCTGGTGGCCCTGCTGACACCATCCTTGGAGAAGTCCAAACTGCACTCCAAGATCCTCGCGGGTAGGATGGCGGGTCGGATGTCCGGCCGGGGCCCGGGGAAGGGGCCCTGGGCCTCAAGGCCGCTTGCCTCCCCCCCCCCCCCCCCCACCCCACCCCCAGATTCCTCGGTTCTCGATTTCACCACCCACCTGCCAGTATTCTTGCAGCAGGCTGCGGCCGCCAAGACCATCGGGTAAGCGGGCAGGGAAGGTGGGTCCGGCACGCCCAGCCCGGCCGCGGGAGAGACCCGAGCCGGCCGGGGCCTGGCCCCGCTCCCCCTGCCAGGGTCCTGGCGCGCGGCAGCCTGAGCGTCGCGGAGGACCTGCTGCACATGCGCGTGGTGCACAGCCTGCTGGCCGCCATGGGCAACACGGACCACAGCAACAGCCAGAGGCTGGCCAGCCTGACGCTGGAGGTGCGGGGTGGGCAGGGGGGGGGCGGGCAGGGCTGCGGGGCCAGGGCCACGGTCCGCGCACGGACCGATGGACGGATGGACATGGACACGGTGGGGGGGCCGCAGGTCTTCGTGCAGATGTTCCCGGTGGTGGAGGAGCACGTGCGCAAGTCCATGGGGGAAGAGCTCTTCCAGCTTTTCCTCGTGAGTGCTCCCTCCCGGCCCCCTAGATTCAGCCCAGGTGCGGGGGTAGGGGCGGGGGGGGGCAGAACGACACCTCCCC